TCGGAAGAAGATATGCAAATATCCTCTTTTGACACTTTAACGTAGTCTAGATGAGCCCATATCCAATCTTTGTTTGGTGGTGACAATTATATTAATTTTGTAATACACACACACACACACACACACACACAGAGCCTGTTTTGACTTATTTGAACCTGCAATGTGTATATTTTTGGTGATTATATTAAAAAATGTTGATGGGGAAAAACATAAAATACAATGTTAATTAAACAATGTTAATTAAATGCAGGCAAAGGCTAGAATGGCAATTGCCACAATGCATATCTTTTCACTATTTACTTTCAGTTCCATTAATAAGAGCATTCCAGATGCCTATGCTAGGAGACAGTTAACTCTTCAACTGCTGGATTAATGTAATATGCAATGAACATGAAACACCTCCATCCTCCACTTAACTCTCTCTTAGCTCTTGGAATGTTTCCAGTTTCTGAGTCAGGCATAAATGTAGTGAGAACCAGTGCTAGAAACTGCATTTTTGCTACACTCATTCTTGGCACCGGCAAGGTCCATTTTGAGGTCAAATGTCCTGGGAGATAGCTAATTGTATATCCAGTCACTGAACTTGGCTTCTGTAGAACATTTTCATTTTCTGAAAAGAAAAGAAAAAAAAAAGACCATTGAAACATGGTCTTACAGGTCTATTCACTTCTATACAGGCAGTCCCCAGGTTACGTACAAGATAGGGACTGTAGGTTTGTTCTTAAGTTGAATCTGTATGTAAGTCGGAACTGGCGTCAGCCCTGCTGAAACTGATCAGTTTCAACCGCGGCTGAATCTGGATGCCAGTTCTGACTTACATACAGATTCAACTTAAGAACAAACCTACAGTCCCTATCTTGTACGTAACCTGGGGACTGCCTGTATAGAAGTGAATAGACCTGTAAGACCATGTTTCAATGGTCTTTTTTTTTTCTTTTCTTTTCAGAAAATGAAAATGTTCTACAGAAGCCAAGTTCAGTGACTGGATATACAATTAGCTATCTCCCAGGACATTTGACCTCAAAATGGACCTTGCCGGTGCCAAGAATGAGTGTAGCAAAAATGCAGTTTCTAGCACTGGTTCTCACTACATTTATGCCTGACTCAGAAACTGGAAACATTCCAAGAGCTAAGAGAGAGTTAAGTGGAGGATGGAGGTGTTTCATGTTCATTGCATATTACATTAATCCAGCAGTTGAAGAGTTAACTGTCTCCTAGCATAGGCATCTGGAATGCTCTTATTAATGGAACTGAAAGTAAATAGTGAAAAGATATGCATTGTGGCAATTGCCATTCTAGCCTTTGCCTGCATTTAATTAACATTGTTTAATTAACATTGTATTTTATGTTTTTCCCCATCAACATTTTTTAATATAATCACCAAAAATATACACATTGCAGGTTCAAATAAGTCAAAACAGGCTCTGTGTGTGTGTGTGTGTGTGTGTGTATTACAAAATTAATATAATTGTCACCACCAAACAAAGATTGGATATGGGCTCATCTAGACTACGTTAAAGTGTAACAGTCGAAAGAGGGTATGCATATCTGCTTTCAAAAGTGAAAGTAGCTTAGATGCGACTTTTTCGGCGAACCTCCTCCCCCCCCTTTGTTGAAAAGCCACGTAAACCTCATTTTTGGAGGAAGAGTGTTAAACTATATGGTATTAGCACAAACATAAAGCAAGTTTTGAACCTGGAAGTCTAATCAAGTTGAAGCCAAAAAGCCATAATGAATACAAATCACAACTCAATGAAACCACCCTATTTCTCGACCTGAGGTATAAGTAGCTGTCTGCCTGCAAAATGTAACAAATCCACACACGAAAAACTGGATTATTTTATTTCCACTAAGAATTATTACTTCTTCCACTGGGAATAAACATATCTGCATAGTGTGATTGTTGTACAAATATCTCTCTCTAGTAAAGGTTAAATGCACACACACACACACACACACACAAAATACACTTCGGGAATGGGGACGGGGGGAGAATTTGTCCAGTATGCGTATGTTGTAACTTATACATCACCTGAAACATAAAATCTACATTTATTTTAGTCATAATGAACAGTGAAATGCACACTTAACAAAAGTATGGAAGATAACATTTAAGAGTATCTTCTCATGAGAACAAAGAATCAATTGCACATGTCTAAAACTTCTTATTTTGTTCCCAAAGTTTAAAACTGCAGCATTTCTATGAAATCACAGCAGTGTTGTTAAAGACCACCATGAGTACTGACAACACCAAGTTCCAAATTAAGATGCAGTATAAACCAGAGAACTGCAAAGAATCCTCATTAGCTCTAATTCTGGTATAGATTTAACTTTCCCATGACCAGCTCACATTTATTTTTTTAAACCTGGACTACCATACTTCAGATCATGCTGGCAGTTGTCATCATGTTTTGTGCCATGATGGCTTACCTATATAATACTGGAGCCTGGCTTGATATTAGGCAGAATGTATGTATGCAAATCTCACACGAAGTTTTGGAGGCTAAAAATGGTTGGAAAGGGAGAATTTCAAAGGCTCAAGTAGAAGTAGGTTATCGAACACCCACTGACTTTCAGTAATAATGGCAAACCTAACTATAATTCATACATCTGAAATATCTTCTCCATAATACAGTATAGTCATATACAGTATTTTAACTTCAGGGTAAAATAATAAATGTGCTTTACATACAGATGGGATCATTAATATGAATGAAATTAATTACAGCCAAACTCCTTCTGAGAAGCAATTACTCAAGTAAGCTTCAATGGGATTACCTGAGTAAGCACTTGCTCATATTGAGAAGGGTGAAACAGTCTAACCCACTCCTGGAGATGGATTAACTTATTCATAGTGAAAAATTTACTTCACAAATTACTAACCCATTTTCTTGTTCAAAATGTATCCACGACTGGGTTTAACCTATTCATTTTTTTTTTGGACAATCATTTTATAAGAAAACACTTCACGCCTACAGGTCATGGGTGAAACTTTCTCTTACTTCTGTATTTCAAGTGGTGTGACTAGTCACCTGTTTCATGAAAAAACTGGTCCAATAAAGGGAAGTATTTTGTAATTTAAAGAATTTTCCTCAAAGCATTTTTTAAATTCAAAATTTCATTGAAATTTCAAGATTTGGAATATTTAGATCAGTTCAAATCACAGTTTCTGCTCCCTGACTGGATGACAGAAACTTAACATAAACCAGGAGAAGGAAAATTATGGTAATTTCATAGATTCATAGATTCTACAGTCAGTAGGAACCATTCTAATAATCTATTCTGTCTTTCTTTCCAACACAGGCCACACAATTATCCCCAAATAATTCCTAGAGCTGATCTTTTCAAAAAACTTCAAATCTTGAATTAAAAGTTGTTAACAATGAAGAATCAACCTATTTTGGTAAATTGTTCCAATACTTAATGGTTAATTTCACTACTACCAGACAAAAATTCTGGGTAAAACTTCATATAAACACAGTCTGCTGATTATTCAACAAAATATCACTTTCAGTGAACGTTTTTATAAACAAAAGTTCACTCACATAATGTGCAAATACTTTTTTGAATGAAATTGTGCAAACACTTTTTTGAAGTATTGTATTTGCCCAGGACTAGATATATTGCAAACCAAGAGGTGTAATGATGAGTTGCTGTATTCTGCTTGTTATACATTATTATTAGAGCAAATAGAAAAGGATACCAAGCATGAAGATGATTTATTACCATTCCTCACAATAGCAAAAAACCAGAATCCTCAGCTGGTGACCATTTATGGAACTACACCAATTTACACTAGTTGAGATTCTGCTCTCACACTGTTTTTGTCACATCTATTACCTTATGAGGTCAATAGGCTGATACTTGTAAAATACTCCGTATCTTGCCCATTCTTGATACAGCAACTAGAATAAAGAAAGACAGAAAATTAACTTAAAACAACTGTTCACAATCAAATTACAAACATCATTTTTTTAAGTGTGAACATGGACCTTTGTACCTTTCTGATCAATATTATGCAGCTCCAATTTATGTGCTATGAAATTTTGCATCAGGATGCCATTATCACTTGGGGTGTGTCTAGACTACAGAGTTTTGTTGACAAAAGTGGACTTTTGTCGACAAAACTATACCTGCCTCTACACTACCGCTGAGTTCTGTCGACATAACGTCGACAGAACTCAGCAGTTTTGTCGACGCTGGTAAGCCTCATTTTACGAGGCATAACGCCTTTTGTCGACAGAGTTTTGTCGACAGAAGGTGTTACTGCATCTAGGGTTGTGTCTAGACTACAGGGTTTTGTCGACAAAGCAGCTTGCTTTGTCGACAGAACTGAATGTAGTCTAGACGCTCTTTGTCGACAGAAGCTTTGTCGACAGTATCTGTCGACAAAACTTAGTTACTTCGGGCTAGTCAATTTCTAAAATGGCGACCAGTAGCTGGATTTCAGACTACAGAGAAGAATCTCAAGGTGCTACCCAATTATTTCAATTCAGTGGTTCACATATCCAGGGTCACATAAAGTAACTAAAAACTGGAATAAAGAAATCATCACAAATTTTAAAATAGAGGATAACTCCATCAGAGGCCAAGTACGTTGGATTGGGCCCCAATTTACTAATTGTTATCAATGGGTCTTTTAAAAGCACTCAGCATTTATCTATACCTGCTCCGAGTGAAAAAAAATTGTATTAACCACCCTACCTCCCACAGTTCAATATGAGTAGAATTAAACCCATCTTGAGTGCTTTAGAAAATATCATCCTACCTATTTCTTTAGGGGGAAAAAAACTATATGGAGAATGTTATAGTGATGCTTAAACTGTTGGATTTGTTTTTTTAAGTCCAAAGAGAAAGAAGCGGTGGGAAGGAGACATGGGATTTTAACTGATCCTTCTTCATGGCAGCCCCTCTTAGAAGAGTACGGATGTGTCTAGAAGAAGGATGTTGCAGTTACTGACTCTGCTTAGTAACTGTCACAGAAGGCTTCCATTGAAGGTAAGCAGTTTTATAGGTTCCAAACAATGAGGCTGTTGGAGAGAGGACCGCAGCAAGTGATTGATGCAGCACCAAGACAAGTGTGTGGTATAAAGGATGTGTCCGACTCCTAATACCTGCACCAATTTGAATTTGGGGGTGAAGAGTCCTTGAAACTGAGGAGTTACCTGTTGGCTCAGGTGTGGTAATTGCTGTTATCTGGGAGGATCTTTCTTATTTTGCTCAGAAGAGTCTGGAGGGAAACTAAGGGTATGTCTACACTAGCCCCCTAGATCGATCTAGAGAGGCTAATGAGGGCGACCAGAATTGCAAATCAAGCCCGGGACTTAAATATCCCGCGCTTGATTTGCATGTTCCCAGCTGGTCGCCATTTTAGAAATTCACTAGCCCGAAATAACTGCCCGCATCTACACACGGCAGTGAAACGGGCTTCTGATTTAAAGCCCTAATTCGAATTAGGTGGTATTCCTCCTGCAATGAGGTTTACCACCTAATTTGAATTAGGGGCTTTAAATTGGAAACCTGTTTCACTGCCGCGCGTAGACGCGGGCAGTTACTTCGGGCTAGTCAATTTCTAAAATGGCGACCAGTAGGGAACATGCAAATCAAGCGCAGGATATTTAAGTCCCGGGCTTGATTTGCAATTCTGGTTGCCTTCATTAGCCTCCCTCGATCGATCTAGGGGGCTAGTGTAGACATACCCTAAGAGAGAGGCAACATTCTCCTCAGACCCTGGAGGATCCAGATGACATATACTTGTCTGTTGAGGCCACATGCTAGAACAGTGGAGTTCAACCTATGGCCTGTGGGCCACATGCAACCCATTGGAGCTCCACCTGAGACCTGCGGACCCCCTGTCTGTCCCATTTCCCCACATGCCTATCTTGCACTGGGAAACTGGAGCTCCACACTTCCTACTCCTCCTTATCTGCCCCTCCCCCCCAGTGCTTTTGGAGCCTCATGAATCCACTGATACATGCTTTGCCCCCACTCCTCTCTCTTTTTTCCAGAGCTAGAATACCGTGAATCAGCTGTTGAAGATGGTGAAAGGCTCAGGGAAGGGGAGCATCCAACTGGAGCAGAGGGAAATGATCCTATGGGTGAGACCCTCCTTCCAGAGGATGTTGTGTACCCTCTCACACTTTGGATACCTCTCTGGGAGAGAGAACTCCAGTCATTAGGAAAAGACAGGTGTTAGTAATGAAGGATTCGATCATTAAAAACATAAACAGCTGGGTTTGTGATGATAGGGAGAACCATATGGTGATTTGCCTGCCTGGTACCAAGGTTGCGGATCTCTCAAGACATCTACATAGATTTATATGTAGTGCTGGGGAGAAGGTGGTGGTCGTGGTACATGCAGGCACCGATGACATAGGGAAGGGTAGGAGAGATGTCTTGAAAGCCAAATTTTGAATGATAGAAAAGAGATTGAAATCCAGGACCTCTATGGTAGTGTTCTCCAAAATGCTTCCAGTTCCACGTGCCAGGCCAGGTAAGCAGGCAGAACTTCAGTCTCAAAGCATGGATGAGACGATGGTGTAGAGAGAAGGGGGTTAGATTCAGGGGCAGCCCATGTGTATAGGCCGACTCGGCCGTTGCCTAGGGCGCTGTGTTAAACAGGGTGCCCAATTATGACGTCATGCCATTGAGGGCTGGGGAGGCGGGGGTGCCAATTGCACATTCCGCTTGGGGCGCCAGCTGCCGGCAGCCTGCCTCAGGCCATCCCTGGTTAGATTTATTAGGAACTGGGCAAACTTTTGGGAAAGGGGGAGCCTATACAGGAATGATGGGCTCCACCTAAACCAAAATGGAATCAGATTGCTGGCACTTAAAATCAAAAAGATTGTAAAGCACCTTTTAAGGGCTGGGGGGGGGGAATGCTGACAGGTACGGAAAACCACATGGATCAGACAGACACATCCCTTAATAGAGGATCTATAAATAGAGATTCTCTATGTCCTAATAAACAGAAGAGGATGGAAGATCATAAGATCAGATCAGAAACAGTCAAATGAAAAAGAGTCCCATTCAATTGTATCAGGCATTGGCAGACAGCTAAATAGTGACAAGCTTTTAAAGTGTTTATATGCAAACGCTAGAAGTCTAAATAATAAGATGGGTGAACTAAAGTGTCTTGTAATGAATGAGGATATTGATATAACAGGCATCACAGAAAACTGGTGGAATGAGGCTAAGCAATGGGACACAGTCATACCAGGATACAGAATATATCAGAAGGATAGAACAGGTCGTTCTGGGGGGGAGTGGCACTATATGTGAAAGAAAATATGCAATCAAATGAAGTAAAAATCTTACATGAATCTAAGTGGAGTGGTCCAAGGGGTGAATTGATAAACTAAGCAGAAACAAGTCACCGGGACCAGATGGCATTCACCCAAGAGTTCCGAAAGAACTCAAATGTGAAATTGTGGAACAATTAGCTATGGTTTGTAACCTATCCTTTAAATTAGGGGTGAGGAACCTTTTTTGGGTCAGGAGCTACTGACCCAAAGAAAAATTGGGGGCTGTACATAAGTAAGAAGTAAGGGGGGGGAACCCTCACCCTGAAGTGGCCCCTGACTGAGAAGGAGAAAAACACTCTCCACATTTCCCTTGCACATCAGAACCTTGGAGGGCCCAAGTTAATAAATTTTGTGTGCTTCAGCCAGGCATGGGAATGGTGGGAGGGAGGTGTTGGAGCACCAGAATGGGCTCCCCAGTGCTAGAGGGAGCCCTGAGCCTTGGGGCTGGATCCAGGCAAACTGGGGGTCGCATCCAGGTCTTAGGTTCCCAACCCCTGCTTTAAATCATCTTGTTTCAAATGACTGGAAGATAGCTAATGGGATGCCAATCTTTAAAAAGGGCTTTAGAAATGATCCTGGCAATTACAGACCAGTAAGCCTAACATAAGTTCTGGGCAAATTAGTTGAAATTATAGTAAAGAACAGAATTGTCAGACACAGAGATGAATATAATTTGTTGAGGGAAGAGTCAACATGGTTTCTGTAAAGGGAAATCATGCCTTAATAATCTACTAAGTTCTTTGAAGGCATCAACAAGCATGTGGACAAGGGGGATTCAGTAGATATAGTATATTTAGATTTCCAGAAAGCCTTTGGCAAGGTTCCTCACTACAGGCTCTTAAGCAGTTGTCCTGGGATAAGTGAGAAAGTCTTCTCGTGGATTGATAACTGATTACGGGGAAACAAAGGGTAGGAATAAATAAATGGTCACTTTTCAAAATGGAGAGATGAAACTCGCGGTGACCCGCAGGGATCAATACTAGGGATATCAATGTGTAGTGCACTGCACAAATAACCAATACGCCTTGACTTATTAATTATATTGACTACACACATCCACCCTCCCCCCCATTGCTGCCTCAGAGGCAGCAGTGTGGAGGATCAGGGGGCAGGCTGGAGCAGATACGCCTGGGGAGCTGGCTTTTTGCTCTCCACACATGCTGGCTTGCTGGCCTCTCTTACAGAGGCAGTGAAGGGGGGGCAGGCAGGAGCCACTGCTGGGGGGAGTTGGCTTAAAAGCCAGTCCCCCACCTCAGAACCAGCTCTGCAGTGTGGCATGCCCTCCTTCCCCAAGATGCCTGGGCTCCCCATGGACAGAGGCTGCTTCGCGGCAGCAGCCCCTGTTCACGGGGAATCCGAGCTCCCTGTGGACAAGGCTGGAGCAGCTTCTGTCCATGGGGAGCTTGGACTCCTTCCTCCTCCTTTCTCCTCCCTTCCCCTGCAGACAGGGGCTGGTGCCA